TTAGCAGCATGGTCCTGTTAGCAGCGTGAACCTGTTAGCAGCATGGTCCTGTTAGCAGCACGGTCCTGTTAGCAGCATGGTCCTGTTAGCAGCGTGAACCTGTTAGCAGCATGGTTCTGTTAGCAGCATGGTCCTGTTAGTAGCGTGAACCTGTTAGCAGTGTGAACCTGTTAGCACTATGGTCCTGTTAGCAGCATGGTCCTTTTAGCCATTTTAGAGCTCATAATGTAATTTGGCATTAGGTCGGTCACAGACATGGCCAAAAATGCAGCAGATCTGAAGGTTTGTTTGAAGTCTGCTGACACACACACACACACACACACACACACACACACACACACACACACACACACACACACACATATAGACACACACCTTAGTGGCCCAGTTGTGCAGACGTGCTCAGACTGGTACCTGTCTGCAGAGGCAGGCCTCAGGATGGTAGGCCCTGGCAAAGATTTCCCAAAACAACTTTAAAGTTTAAACTCGATAAATCTTTTGCGCATCTACACCACAGAAACTTAATCATTTGTTTTAAAATGGTGAGTAATTTATCAGTTCTATCGTCCAAATAGATTTGATTTAAAATCATAAACCAGATAAGTTTTTTATACCACGTGTTGTTTTGTTGTTAGCTTCTATGATAGCAGATCGTCGGTTTGGTTTAATGTGTCAAATGATCCAAATAATTTAATTGTGTCTCTTTTGTTAACTTGTCTCTATGAGGCATTCGCTGACTGACAGAACTCTTTTTGAATAAAAACATGCTTGTTGTTTGCGTGTACGTCCTGCGTCCAGAGTCTCGACGCATGTGTGCGTGTCAGACCTGTGGAATGCTGTCAGCGTGAGCCTGAGGCAAACTCGCAGGGATGATTTACAACCCTGTCAAAGTGGTCTTCGTCTTTCTCCTCCTCTGATCTCAGCAGCCATACACAGAAGTACTCTCACACACCATAACTCATCTCCTGACACACAGCATTCCTCTAATATGGCCATGGATTAATAAAAAAATGAAAAGAACTGTAGGGCGGCCGTCAGGTGTAACGGAGAAGGAGACTTGCTGGAGGTGATTCGTCAATATAATACCAGAGATGACTGCCTTGATTTTGTAGCTCCACCAGGCAATTTCACATTGTTCAGCTGTCACCTTGTTTTTTCTAGGAACACACCTTGCCAGTGGCTGGATTTGGCAAATCCAAGTCAGTGAACGCACCACGGCCAAGTAGCTAATTTACACTTATCTGGTGTTTAACTATGAAATCAGAGGAAGTGCAAGCAGTGGAAGAAGCTACTTTCTACAGCCTGTTTTCCTTAATCACTTAAACTAGTGAAACTGTAAAGTCCAGCTTACTGTGTGAGACTTTTCTTTTACAACCACGAAGCAAATACAAGAACAAAAATGAAGGAATGCATATCACCCTCCACCTTTCATACCAGACTTTTAATCTTCAAAAATGACTGCGCCCTAGATGTTTTTGTCAAACCGTGAAAGTAATGTTATGCACAAGCTTATGCAATGCACAGAGTATGTCGGAAATGACTCGGCTACTATCACGTCAAGTTTAAATGACCTTCATTCTGACAGTAGGAATGCACGAAATTGGATTTTTGGACGATATCTGATATGCCAATATGTTAAAACTTATTTGGCCAATAACCGATTCCAATAAAGATATTTTTTTCCCTAGGCATACTTAGAGAGATTACATAGCTTTATCTACTGTGGAATTAAAATACTACATTATTCTGCATGGTCTTTATCATTTTGCCTGCTACCAAATGTAGATACCAAAAAGGGGCTGAAAATGATGCAACACTTCAACTTGGATTATGTTTAATGTCAAATTTATTCATGACATTTACTCTCTCTAACAAAATGACAACACTCGAACAGTCATACAAAAACAGCACCTCTTTATATATAATAATAATTATAATAATAATAATAGTCATCACAATGTCAGCACTGTACGTTTCCATACAATGGCGAAATTA